AACAACAGAAGCTTCCTGGGACTTTCTGCATGTCAACTGCAGGCAGTTGAGCAAGTTTTTTTTGCAGTGCAGGACTTGACTGACTAATGTTGTATATCATGAAGTTTTAAATGAATTATAATTTGATGTTGCTTGAGAGATAGAAGCATGAAAACTTGTTCTTTAAGCAGCTACATGTTTCTACTGGGCTAGAATAATTAATAACCAGGGCTGTTTCCATGGCACTTTCATGCAAGTGCTTTCTCTTAAATTGGTCATATACTGAGTTGATACATGTTGTGTGTTGGTTGTAAGTTGTGCCCAATTTTAGCCTGATTTTTGGTGAACTTGGTCCTAAGTTCAGTTTAATTATGTGTATACCTCCTTCTTCAATTTTTTACATGGAGGAAAGAGGCATTGTGGGACCTTTAAAATGCCCCCAATTTTATTTGGTTTTGGGGCTTATATTACATGGTTTTTTTTTTTCTCTTTTTTTTTTGGGAAACTTTTGGGAGTGTTAGTGTCATATGCTGAGTCATCCTAATCAAACAAAGTGTTGAGCCTAACCAAAAGGCTATGAAACTGGCTGGAACATCCAGTCCAATGAGGATGTTACAGTGTCACATAGCACCCTGTGACAGTTAGTGTGACAACTCCCATGGAAGGAAGGAATTGGTTGGATGACTCCCAAAATTGATGCCTGCAATCTTGTGGGGTTTGATCAAAACATGGAAATTGTCTTATTAAGGCCTGAAAACCAATGCCAAAATTCTATGACATGTGGGTTTAAAATGGTGATATTAAAGCTCCCATTCATTTTTGACCATATTTACGCGCATGTTTTTGTTTCTGGTTTTTTTGTCCAAACATTTCGGACAAAGGCCAAATCCTGGGTAGGTTTTTGAAGTCCGCAACTGTAAAGGCTGTGCAGCCCACCTCTGGTTCTTGACTGCTGGGTAGTGGCGGCGTCTCCGATTCCTAAATTTGTCCTTTCTAAACCTAGATTCTAAATCTTGTTTAATGGTCGGAACATGCAGATTGTCCGCCACGAAACCAAGTTTGGGATTTAGAAACATGTGGTCTAGACTTGGGATATTTGGTGACGGGGAAGACGTCCAGTTTTGGCTACAGCTTCACAATTAACCTAATTTTGCCTGGTTACATGCTTATTATTTACACCGACATATTCATAAGCTGCCATTCGTGCGTATGGAGGATTGGGTAATTCCGCGTAGTCTGAGAGACGTCAATTCTCAAGAGGGATAAGGTGAGAAATGAGTTAATTTTGGGTTGCTCAGCGGTGTGGGAGGATCTGAGAATGTGCCAAGGCTGGGCCCGAGAGTGCCAAAGAGCTTAAAATGATTGAAATGGTGTGAGAGCAGGCGCACTGCTTATTTCGAGCCGAAGAGGGGAGTTATGTGCAGCAGATGTTCAGTGCTCGTTCGTCTTGGAGATGGCTGGCTGCAGTGGCAGTGATGCAGCCCACTGGCAGTGACTGTCCACTACCAACACAGTCAGTACTGCCTGCCACAGTCTATCTGATCAGCCATTGCTTCATCCTCTTCCCCTCCCTCACAAGAACAGCTGTAACTGTTTGCCCAAACTTGTGCAAGTTGAAGCGATAGACAATCTCCGACCGAGGAAAGAAGACTTCTTTCCTGTATCAGCTCTCAACTAGATAAACATATATAAAATCTGCAGTCCTTTTTAGCACCTAACATCCGCAACACCCCCCGGCCTGCACACTCTATACGCTTCTTCTTGCACCTGCAATGGTCAACATCACCGCCGGTCCGAGTAAGCCCTCTCGGCAACCCCCCCTACAGCTAAGGCAACATCCACGCTAACTATCTCCTTCCCTCAGCTGGTGAGATCATTGCCACCCCCACCGATGGCCCTGCCGTAACGTACAATCCAGGCGACCTCGCTTGGATTCTGGTGGCTAGCGGTCTCGTCATGATTGTTAGTCTTGCATCTGCCGTCCCGCTCAAGCAGACAGATGAATAGTCCAACTAATCGTCCACTCGTCGCCCCGTCACTCTATCGTTATCATTTGAGATGACCCCTGGACTGGGATTCTTTTACTCAGGCCTACTCAGACGGAAAAATGCCCTCTCAATGATCTTCCTCTCAGTCGCCGTCTACGGCGTCGTCTCCTTCCAATGGTTCTTCTGGGGCTACAGTCTTGCCTTTGCACCCAACGCCTCCAGCTTCATCGGCACCCTCTCCCAGTTTGGCTTTATGAATGTCGATCTACAACCCTCGATCGGCGGCCCCAAGGTACCTCTGAATCTTGCTTGGTAGATTGCTATAACACAGCCCAAACTTACCTATTCGCATTGCCCATTCAGATTCCCGCTTTAGGTTATGCTGTCTACCAAATGATGTTCGCCACTGTCAGTTTAACCCCAAACAACAATTCTCCCTTGTGGAGTGCATGTACTAATAACCTCCCCACCATAACCTGTCGCTTAATCCAGATTACTCCGATGATTGTTCTTGGCGCTATTGCCGAAAGAGGCCGGATAGCTCCCGCCCTGGTTTTCAGCTTTGTCTGGTCAACCCTAGTCTATGATCCCATTGCCGTCAGTAGTGCCCTTGATAATCAACTGCCTTCGAGAGCGTACTCAACCAAACCAATGAAATTCTCTTTGCCTTACAATAGTGCTGGACATGGAACCCTAACGGTTGGACTGCCAAGATGGGCACCCTTGATTTTGCTGGTGGAGGTCCCGTTCACATGAGCTCCGGAACCGCTGCCCTTGCGTACAGTATCTGGCTGGGCAAACGGCGCGGCTATGGAACTGAAAAACTTGCGTACAGGCCTCACAACGTATCGCATGTTGTTCTCGGAACCGCCTTCCTTTGGTTTGGATGGTAAGCCTTGATATTCACTTTTCACTATACATCAATTACATCATCCTGACTCCTATCTTCTGACAGGTTTGGCTTTAACGGTGGATCTACTCTGGCTGCCAACTTGCGAGCTTTTCAAGCCATCATGGTCACGAACACATCCGCTGCTGTTGGTGGTATCACGTGGCTCCTGCTCGATTACTGGCAGGAGCGTAAGTGGTCCCCTGTTGGGTTCTGCTCAGGTGCTATTGCAGGCTTGGTCGGCGTGACCCCTGCCTCTGGATACATTGGAACCCCTGCAAGTGTTGCCATTGGTGTGATCACAGCGGTAATTTGCAATTATTCGACCAAGCTGAAAATTTTGTGCCGTTACGACGATGCACTTGGTGAGTCGGCTCACCTCGTCAGGTCATTTTTGCGAGATATACACTTGATAACTGAACCTCTTCCCCATGTGGTAACCCCCAGATATCTTTGCTTCTCATGGTATCGGCGGCTTTGTCGGCTCAATATTGACGGGTATATTTGCAGACAGTCGCGTCGCTGCATTCGACGGAATAACTGCGATACCAGGTGGATGGATCAATCATCATTACATGCAAATCCTCTA